GAGGCCCAGGTGCAATAGGTGGTGGACCTTCGCCACGTCGGGGGGCGCCTGCTGGAACCCAACACCGCGCCCTCGATCCTGGGCCCCCTGGAGCGGCGAGAAGACCATGTCCCAGATCTCCAGGGGGGTAGTCTTGGGTGGTACCGCCCGCCTTGTTTCTGCCTTTCTGAGGTGACCCCTGCTCTCGCCGGAATCCCCCCCGCCAGCTGCTCGATCGCAAGCTCGTCCGACTCCGACGCGGGGGGGGGCCGGCAAACCTTCCCTCTCTTGCCTCCACGTGGCCCATTCCAGGGGCCTGGCCCCCATACCTGGAGCAGCCCCCGTCTTAGCAAGGTGCTCATGCCAGACTTCTCTGGGCGGCGGCGGCGGCCGCAATCCCCTCCCATCTCGTTGTTTAGCCCGAAACCTCGTCCTCGCAGCCCTCCTCGAAAGTGCGTTTGCATCCGCCATCCTCCTCTCCCTCCACGCCTCCTCCGCCATCTCGATGTAGATCCTCCTCTCCTCCTTCCCAGCGCTTCGCCGTTCAGCAAGGAGCAGCGCAGACGACCTCTTCAACTCCTCCTCCAACTCCCTCAGCTCGTCCTCCTTGCCCCCCCCCCCCCTCCTGGATCAGAAGTTTGGACTCCTCCAGTGCCAATCGCGGTCGCAAAAACTCGCGGCGCCGTCGAGAAAGCTTTGGATTCGGTGCAAGAGGTTTCCGAGAGAAGTGCTGGTGGCCAAGCGTAGTAAGTACGTCCTCCGTTCGTTCAAAGAAAGTGTCAGCCGAGCCCGTCGCGGCATAGCCTGCAAACTCTGCCTCGCGGCCCTCTAACTCCGTTGCTACTGCCTGGAAGAACTGACTCTTGCCCTTCCCGCTCCTGGCCGCCTGCATCAGCGCCGAAAGGTCCATGCGTCTAGGTGGGGCATGTGGGGGCAAGCACGGGTCCTTCTCATACCTCACGACAAGACACAGAGGAAGGTGGTCTCGCGGCGGAGGTCCTCGCATTGTCTGAAGCTGGGCCCCGAGGTTGTGCAATACTTTACACTGCTGAACACGATCGCGATACCCAGAGGCTAGGAACCTGTAATCAGTTCTGGAGGAGGTAGTAGGTGAGTTGGCAGGGTAGTAGGTGTTCTCGAAGGGAGGGAAAGTAGAATGAGCGGCCAGGTGATGTTCCTCAATCATCTTGCGAACCTCCCCCCAAGCACCTCGTCTTCTAGCCTCTCTGCTCCGAAACGGGCCAATCGACGCACTCGGGGGATCAGTCCAGACGCCTGATACTCTAGAGCAGCCCAGACCGTCATTGAGATCAGCATAGAAGACTTGAAGCGTTCGCGATGGGAGTCCCTGCAACAAGTCTCGCCACCACTTCGTCAGGATCTGTGCCGTAGCATAGTAGGCGCCGGCCTGACCACGTTTGGAGGGCGGGGGTGGAAATTAGACGGCACTCAGCGTCACATCTTATGCCCCGCGCTTGATTCGAGCTGCCACCGCTCGACCTCCACAATTCGGCGGGGAACCCCAAACCAGAGTGACCTCTCGATCCCGAAACTCGGGGCCTAAGATAATTGAGCAACCAGTAGAACTGTTAGTATACGCTCCAGGAGTGTACACCGATCCGATAAAGAGCCCCCCATCGACACGACGACGTAGCACGCCCTCCCCTCTCCTGCAGCTCTCCTTCATTCCTGCTAAATGAACGAAGTCGGCAGCGCGAGTAGCCGCGAGCAGCTCGTGGAGCCGCTCGCCCGTCGCATGCAAGGGGTCGAAAGCGAGGATCCGCAGGGCGGACCTCGCCACGGAGCGCGCGCTAGCGCCGCGGGCAGCCATGAGAGGGGTTCTCCGACCCCTCGGCGCCGTGTGGGAGGTGCCCCGTGCCCCTGGCCCTGGCGGTCCCCGAGCCGCTCAGGGGCTGGATGGTGAGGATGAGGATGAGGATGAGGATGATGATGATGATGACGATGATGATAATGATGATGATGGTGATGATGGTTATGATGATGGTGATGCTGATGATGTGCAGGGGGGGGGGGGAAATAATGCTTCTGAATGTGATGATGGTTGTGCTGAGGGTGATGATGAGCTGAATGATGCTGAGGACGAATGTGATGATGCTGATGATGCTGATGATTATGCTGCTGCTGATGCGGATGATGAGGACATGTCGGGCACGGAGGATAAAGGCTGGGAAAGAAGGCGGGCGGAGCGAGAGGAGGAGGCGGGAGGGACGGAGGAACGCGGGGCGCTTCCTCTTCACAAAGAGAATCCAATACTACAAGATAGTTGGGCTTGGGGGGAGGGGGGATGCTGTTCTCAGCCTTGGCTCTGGATCCCATGAACCCTCGTCCCAAGTCGTTCCCCGTCGTCCTCTCGGATGCTCGGATGCAAGCGTAATGTCCTACGCCCAAGCGGAACCCGAGAAAAGACGAAACACTACCCTGGCGAAGGACCCAACCATATGCAAGTGTGGGCACCGCAATTGTGAATATCTTCTTCGGTGAAGCTCCCGATGGGTCCACGAAGCGCTGTATTGGGTGTGGTGGTGGTGGGGGGGGGACGCATGCGGGCGGTAACACTGGGGCCGTCGGTGGAGCTCCCCATGGGACCACGAAGCGCTGTACTGGGTGGGTGTAAATGCCAAATTGAGGTTGTGGGGCGCATGAGGGCGATCCACTGAGGGCTTCGGCGAAGCTCCCTTTGGGGCCACGAAGCGCTGCACTGGGTGGGGGGAACGCATGCGGACGGTAGAAATTGGCCGTCGGTGGAGCTCCCTAGGGCCACGAAGCGCTGTACTGGATGCTAAAACGCCAAATTGGGCGTGGGGAGCGCATGCGGGCGGTTCCTCTGGGGGCTGCGGTGGAGCTTCCCATGGGGCCACAAAGCGTTGTACCAGTTGGACGAAAACGCCTGTGTGTGTGTGTGTGTGTGTGTGTGTGTGTGTGTGTGTGTGTGTGTGTGTGTGTGTGTGACGCATGCGGGCGGTCTCACTGGGGGCGTCGGTGGAGGTTCCTATGGGGCCACGAAGCGTTGTACTGGGTGGGTGGCAATGCCACATTGAGTGTGTGGGACGCATGCGGGCGGTCCCACTGGGGGCTTCGGTGGAGCCCCCCAATGGGGCCACGAAGCGCTGCACTGGGTCGGCGAAAATGCCAAATTGGGTGTTTCGGGACGCGCGCGTACGGTGGCACTGGGGGCTTCGGTGGAGCTCCCTATTGGGCCACGACGCGCTGTACGGGGTGGGTGGAAATGCCATATTGGGTGTTTCGGGACGCATGCGGACGGTTGCGCACGAAACGCTGTACTGTCTGGGTGAAACGCAGGGATGAGAACGCGGGGACCGTCTCTTCAAAACGAGGACCCAACACGACAGGATGGTTGGGAATAAGGAGACGGGGCCACGAGGGCACCTAGGAGAACAGAGAAGGTCGAGAGGAGGGAGGGAACCTCCTCCCCCTCCTTCATGCCCTCCTCCCTGCTCCCCTGTTCCTCCATCCCTCCTTCCTTCCCCGTTCCTCCTCCCTGCTCCCCCGTTCCTCCTCCGTTCCTCCCTCCCACCTCAGTGGTTCGCCCCCTTCCTCCCGTAGCGCCGCCATTTGAAGGAACGTTCGGGGTGGCCAGGGCTCAGCTCAGGGGGGAAACATTGCCCTGAAATCAACGATACGACGTTGATGCAGGATCCCGCCTGACCTAAGGACCGAAAAATAACTAAGGAACGAAGCCCCTTTCTTCCAAGTAAGTCTACGAAGTTCGAAGCAACGGCCGAGACCATTTCTAGCGGCAATCCTCCACAATTTGCTTTTGCGATTCGATCCCCGCCCCTCCTGCTAAACTACCAAGGAACGCCCGGCCCCCCCTTCCCAGCCGCTCCAACATCGCACGCAGAAGCGCAGTCGAGCAAGCGCAAGGAACCGAGCCCCTCTTGGAGCCCCGTTCCTTCGACCAGCCGCCCTCATCGACTAAACGAACCCGCGCGTCCAAAATCTGAAGGAACACCAGGGGGCTCGCCGCCAACAAGGTAGCGAAACGCATGCAAACCAAAGGAACAACCGTTTTGAAAAGTAAGTGCTCTTTGTTCAAGCCGGATCCTGTAATTCGGCGCTAGCAGAACCGCACAGTCCTTTGCGGGGTGGGCTACCGGGCCCCTATCCCCTATCGGCGATCAATGGGCGATTGGGAGTCGATGCGTGCCCCTCCAGGGCCGCGCTACGTGCTTGGTTAACGGTGCGGTTGGGAATCTGGTTTTTGTGACACCGAGCTCGCGAAGAACAAGATGCAGGAAATCACGAAAGGCCGTTTCCGACATTTCAAATATGAGAATGTACCGAACGAAAACGACTCAGCGAGTTTTGGGGTCGCTGCGTGTCCCTCTGAACCTAATTATCCATCCCTAGCGTTGCCACTGACTCAAGCTTCGGTTTCCGGCCACGCCTCGGGCCTCCGGCGGCCGCTCGGGACGATCCGGGCACCCCCAGAACGCGCTCGGCGAGGCACAGCTGCTGGAAGGCATCCCACGCCGGGCAGACCTCCGACAACTGACGAACTCGGCTTGAGGGCCATAAGCTCGGGCCTTAGGCGAGCGTTCGGACCGATCGGCGAATCCCTGGAAAGCTCTCGGCGACGCTCGAGATGCAACTGCGGCAGCGCACCCCGAGGCCAGAACAAAAACCAACGAGAATCGCCGAAGCACGTCCGAAAGCCTCGAATCTCGGGCCAGTCCTCCACGAACGTTTCTGCCAGGTGGTGATGGGGGGTGACCGACGTGGGGAGTTAACACAAGTGCCCTAAGAGGGCCCTTGAAGGGCCCCCGCTGACTCCAAAAGGGGCCCCAGGGCCCCTTTGGGGGAATCATCTGCACCCCGTCATGTAGGCCACCCCCCGTTACCACCCACCCGAACGTTGCGCCTGAGCAGCGCCGAAGCACCCTCCCTCTGCAGAGGCTGCCCGCCTCCACCCAAATAAAACAAGGAAGTCCCCCCCCCGCGGGGGGAAAGAGAGAGAGAGAGAGAGAGCCCAGGCTCGCCGTGGACGGCGGGGCTGCCCACAAGACAAGGGAGAAGATGAGGGACGCAATATCCAGGTGGACCTGTCGCAAGGTGGGAGGGAAGACATGTCCTCGATCCTCGATGTCGTTCATGTTCGTGCTCCGCTTGTCTTCCCAGGCCTACCAGGGTTCCCTACACGAATGTGCCAATCGCAGGTCGGCCTGCGTGGCATCACGGGCTCGCCTGGGGGCCCAGGGGTTGTCGAAGAACGACTCGGGATGAGGCGCACCACGCCTCGGCATTTATTCCTCGAGCAGCCCGTTGGGTTTTGAAACCATCCGATGGAGAAGACGCACCCGATCCCATCGGACCGCGATGTCCTCCAATCGAAGCGCTGTCATAAGGAACCTTAAGTAAGGAACGAAGCCCTTGTTGTCCCCATAAGTGGAACATCGATTTTCCATGGAACACCGAAGGCGAACCTAGAACAGACGGCAAAACCATTCAGGAACACCGAGCCCCTCCCCAACGAAACGGGTTCCTACTTCATTGGCCCGACTGTAGATATCATCGGTTTCCTCCATACCCTCGGGAGGAATTGCGAGGGACGCGCGCGCCCGCGCAGCGATGGCATCGGGCAGGTGCCATGCGCAAGCTAGAAAGGGACTGTGGCGGGGGCGCTCTGGAAGAGTCCGCCGTCAGCTCGAACTGCGGAGTTCCCTCCCTGTTGGGCCGATCGGACGTCCTCCGTCCCTCGTCCCTCCCTCCCCCCCCTCCCCCCTCCTCCTCATCGTCCTCCCTCCCTCCTCCCTCCTGCCTCTCTCCTCCCTCCCTCTTCCCTCCTCCCTCCTCCTTCCTCCCTCCCTCCGTCCTCCCTCCCTCCTCCTCCTCCCTCCATCCATCCCTCCTCCCCCCTCCTGCCTCTCTCCTCCCTCCTTCCTCCCTCCTCCCCTCCCCCCCCTCCTCCCTCCCCCCCCTCCTCCCTCCTCCCTCCTCCTCCCTCCATCCCTCCCTCCCTCCCCCGTTATCCTTCCCTCCCTCCTCCCTTTTTCCCTCCCCTTTCCTCCCTCCCTCCTCCCCCTCCTCCTCCTCCTCCTCCTCCTCCTCTTCCTCCTCCTCCTCCTCCTCCTCTTCCTCTTCGCCCCTCCCTCCTGCACCGCGGCCCGGGGCGACCACGAGATGCCAGCCTCCCTCGCCTCCAGAGCAGGGACCAAACGAGAGCTCCACCGGGCCGACCTCTCGTCTTGGACGAGAGCTGACAGCATGCAAAGAGGAAGAAGGTTGTGGCCCAGCTCGTGAGCTCGGACGCGACGGCCCGAGGAAGCCGAAGAGGCACCCCAAGAGGGCCTGGAGATGGCGCAAGACGGTCCGGAGGAGGAGGAAGAGGAAGTTCCGAAGAGGTTCCCCCCCCGACCGCGACAACTGACTTCTCCGCGGCGGCCGCTCCGCGCGGCCGCACCGCGCGGGCCGCGGCTCGGGTGGGCCGCGCCCCTGGGGGCCGCCCACCTCTCCACGAGCGTCTTGCGGAGGCGCGTGGGGCCTTGGGGCCGTGCGTGCCCCCTGCGTAGGGCACGGTCCGCCCCGAGATCCTCGACACCCCGCGCGGCGCGGACTCAGCACGCGGTTGCTGGGCATCCTGCGGGACATGCCTTCCAGGGAAGGTGGCAGTAGCTGAATCGACCAATCCAGTCCCGCTGCGCGTCGTGCGGGTCACAGTGGTGCTGCTGTCGACGTGCTGGTCACGGTGGCGCTGCTGCCGTGGGTGCTGCACGTCGTGCTGGTCGATGCTGCGCTGCTGCTCTCCGTTGCGCGTTGGCTAGTAGCCGCGCCGAGGAGTCCTAGCACCCGTATCCTTCTTCTCTCCTCGACGCTCTCCGCTGCTGTCGCTGGGGCTGGCGGTGGCGTTGGAGTCTCGTCCCCGCTCGCGTCGGCACTGCGCCCCGCAACGGCGTCGTCTTGCTGGGTTGGAGCCGCCCTCCCTGCGCGGGCCGCGCACGGGCCACGGCTCGGCTCGGGTGGGCCGCGCCCCCGGGGGCCGCCCACCTCCCCACGCGCGTCTTGCGGTGGCGCGTTGAAGCTTGGGGCCGAGCACGCCCTCCGCGATGGCCGCGGCCCACCCCCGAGATACCCCGCGCCCCGCGCAGCGCCCCCCAGCACGCAAGTGCAGGGCACCCTGCGCGACATGCCTTCCAGGAAAGGTGGCGCACTGGTGAAGTTGCTCAAGGTGGTGCTGCTGCTCGACGTGCTGGCCAAGGTGGTGCTGCTGCCATGGGCGTTGCACGTCGTGCTGGTCAGCGTCGCGCTGCTCTCTGGCGCGTTGCTGGCTGGTCGCCACGCTGGGAAGTCGTCGCGCCCATCTCCTTCTTCTCTTCTCGTCGCCCTCCTCTGCCGTCGCTGGGGCTGGAGGTGGCGCTGGGGTCTCGTCCCTCTACGCGTCGTCACTGCGTCGGTTGCGTGGCTCGTCTTCCCGGGTTGGAACAGTCAGGTTCCGCAGGCGAGGGCCTGCCAATGCATCTCCTCGCTGACGGGGGGGTCCGGGAATTCCGCCTCTCGCAAGTGCGAGTCTGAAGGCCCGCGCGCGAAGGGCGCCTTACTGCGCGCGCGGGCTTCCCCGCTGCTGGCCACGCGCGCGCCGCGCCCCCGCGCCCGCGCCAGCGTCGCCCGCCGGGGCCGTGCAACCACTCGTCGAGTGATGGCAGTGCCTTGGCGGCTTTCTCGGCTTTCTTCAGGCACTCCCCCACCGTGGTGCCCTCGTAGGTCTTCGCCCTCGAATAGGAGTAGCTAGCTAGGTCGGAATTGGGCTCCAGCTTCGCCTTTCGCCCAAACCGCTTGGCCAACCACTCCTCGTGGTGGGAAGCCGCTCTGCTCTTCTCTCGGCTCTTCTCCTTCGCGCTGCAGGTGACTGTCTCTGCGCCGTTTTTTGCTGTAGCTGATGACGTTGGGCTTCCGCCCTACCTCCGTCTTCCGCTGCAGTTTCTCGCGCGCGCTGCTCCCAGCGCTGTAGTTGATGACGTCGTGCTCTGTCTGTTTGCCCCCGTCCGCCAGCCACTCCTTGGCGATCTCAGCACGGGCTTGCCACGTAGCCATGCTGGTGCCGCGCTGGCTTCCGAGCTGTAGCTGATCACGTGGGGGCTCCGCTTCACCGCCGACTTCTTCTCGCATCTGCCACTGCCCGCCTTTCTCACAGTTGCTGCCAAAGCCGGCCTCAGGCTGCCACTGCCCGTCCTTCTCGCACGAACTGGCCGCGCCCACTGTCGGCTGCCGCTGCCTGTCCTTCTCGCACGCACCGACAGCCTCTCGTAGCTGCCACTGCCCGCCCTTCTCGCACGAACTGGCCGCTCCTTCTTGAGGCTGCCACTGTCCGTCCTTCTCACACGAACTGTATTTTCGCCTTCCACTTCTCGCACGCGCTGTCCACCGTGCTGTGGTTAGGGATGGATGGCTCCAACTTCGCCTTCCCCTTCTCGCACGCCATGGCCCTAGCGCTGTACCTCGTCTCTTGAAGCTGCCCGTCGGCCTGGGGTAGCCACTCTTCGTCCGCTTGGGACTGCCGCTGCCCGTCCGCTTGACGCTGCCACTGCTTCTCCACTGGGTCCGCCAGCTTGGAGCTGCCACTGCCTTCTTGAAGTTGCCATTGCCCGTCCGCTCGGAGCTGCCACTGCCCGTCCTTCTCGCATGATGGCTGCCACTGCCCGTCCTTCTCGCACGTGTAATCAGCGCCCTCTCGAAGCCGCCACTGCCCGTCCTTCTCGCAAGCACAGTGCCCGTCTTCGTGGAGCTGCCACTGCTAGTCCTTCTCGCAAGAACTATTCTCTTTTTCGCATGCCCCAATCCCAGTTTGGTAACTGACGGTATCGGGCTCCAGCGTCGCCTCCAGTTTCTCGCAAGTTTGCGCAGGGGCCTTCCGACGTTCTATGGTCTGTCGGCCGAGCTCCTGGAACCACTCTTCGATGTAGGCGTAGCTTCCCTGCGGCTGACACGGCTCGAGCCACTGGGACCCCCACCATTCCTGCATGTGTACGCCTAGGTCCCAGGCTGTTTGTCGTCCAATCACGAGTCGCATTCGCCTCAGCGTTCGCCTCCTGCTCTTGCTGGCATGGCTCGCTGCATGGTGCCACGCCTCAGTGCAAGGGGGCACACTCCATGCGTCCATGGCCATGGGCGGTCGCGCCCGCTGCGCTGGGGGCGGGCTCTCGGGCGCGCGTCTACGCCCGTTCGAGCCGGCCACCTTCCTCGCTGACGGGGAGGAGGAGGAGGATGAGGAGGAGGAGGAGGAGGAGGAGGAGGAGGAAAAGGGAGTGGAGGAGGAGCCCAGTGTGCCCCCAAGACCGTCAAGAAGGTCCAGGAGAGGCCAGAGAGGCCCTGGAGGGGAACCTCGTGGAGGCCCTGGGGGCCCAAATGTGTAGCCCCCCTCGAGCGTGTGCACATCATCCACCGCCTGCCGAAATCCCCTAAGATCGATCCCCCACGAAGAGGTGATGGATACATTCTCACCTCCGAGATCACGGAGGCCCACGGGGTACGCAAAGGTTTCGGAGGCCAGGGAGTGTAACAGGAGGATCGGGCAGCATACAGCTTGAATGCCCAACCGAGCAATACGTCGCTAAATCGAGCGTGCACTCATTAATTCGGCTCACGTGTTCCTCTTTCAAACAATTGATCCTTTACCCGCGGCTAACGAACGGGTCAGCGTGGACACAACGGTACTGAATCGAGGTGCTCCACTGTTACCCGGGGACGGAAAGACAGCTAATCTACAGCTCTGACGCTCGACGAGGACATCCGAGGTGTCGGCGGCCCCTCCGACTGCATCCAGCTCCTCCCCCCTACACACATTCACACTGTCATCCCGCTCGTCATTCTTCTCCCCCCTCAGTAATGCCCTCATGACCCTTCCAACTCGGGCGCATGGAACTTAGACTGGTTGGCTCCGTGCCGCTGCCCGCACGTTCACGAAGAAATGGAACGTTAGCTGGGCCTGAACTTCATATCGGCGACTGTCGTTGCGTGCCCGAAAATGATAGGGCGAGAAGACTAGAAGGAGAAAGGCGGCCCGTGACGAGGATAACGACGATGCTCCAACTCTCCAAGGAACTGATGCCACCCCATGGCTGAATTTGTTCTCCCCTTCGAGGCTCATGTCCTAGATGCATCAAGAAGCCTTTCCGTTGAAGCATCTGCTTGCTTGAAAAAACACTATCACCGCCAATGCTTCATACATAGCTACCGGCAATCCAGTGGCCCCTCCTAGGTTTGAGCACAGACGCAAGACTGCAAATGCACACGGGCGCGACACGGATAATGTTACCTTGTTTATGTAGAAGTTGTCGTACTGCGCCTGGCTGCGACAGTTCAGCCCCACCCCCCAAGTCAAAGTAGACGGAGGAAATAACTATGCTAAAGAAAGAAGCCTGCCACATACGTACGGCCGACCATGAAAATAAATCTACACAACAACCAACAAAAAGCAAACTGACCCACGAAACGATCACTCGCACAGGTGCACCGCGCATCCTCTTCTACCCTCCACAAAATCATGCGGTTCGTGCTGTTCTCCTCGTTATCCTCCGTCCCCCATTGTCCTCCTTATGATCATACGAAGTGCCTTCACCCCTCGAAACTCAAACCCTCTTCGCGCATATTAATACTCATTCTACGAGGCATCCACCTACTCATCCCCCTCCTCACCCTCACCATCACCACGAACACCAGCATCACTACCATCATCATCTTCACCATCATCATCCTCATCACGACCACCACCGACGCCGTCCACAGCATCGTCATCATCATGATAATCATGACCATGATGATGCTCCTCACCGTGGTCGTCGTCGTCATTAGCAGCAGTAGCAGCATCATCATCATCATCGTCATCATCATCAGCAGCATCATCATCACCATCATCATCGTCGTCGTCAACATTATCATCATCGCCACCACAACCATCATCAGCAGCATTTCCATTACCATCATCAGATTCAGCATCATCATTATCATCACTCTAGTCATCGTCAGCATCACCATCATCGTCATCATCATAAGCATGATCAACATCGTCGTCGTCGTCGTCATCGCCATCGCCATGGTCATGATCATGATCATCATCATCATCAACATCCCCAGTATCATTACCGTCGTCGTCGTCGTCGTCGTCGTCAACATCAACATCATTGGCATTGTCACTCGTGCGCATCATCATCTACTGCGTCATCATCATCATCATCATCAACACCACCATCACCATCATCATCCTCATCACCAGCAGCAGCAGCATCATCATCACAATCATCATGTTCAGCATCATCATCATCAGCACCATCATCATCGTCATCATCATCATCATGATCTGCATCATCACTACCACCACTATCACCACCAGCAGCAATAAGCAATATCATCACCATCACCATGGTTATCGCCATCATGAACAGCAATCTACGACTCCTCATACCCAGTCTCATTCTCTCCTGCCCACCCAACCCTTCCATCCTCCCTCACTCTGCCCTCCACCCGATCGCCCCCCTTCCAGAGCTGACCATCCATCCCTTTCTCGTGTACCTCCGCCCTCCTAAGGGTCCACAGGCCATCGGCTGGAGCTGAACGCAACTCCGTGAGGTAGCACAAACAGTCCGCGCGAGGGCCAAACACGGCGATACGCCCCTCGCCCACAGCCAAGACCAGAACGACCCCGCAACCTGGCCGTCCTCCCCTGCAGCCCTCCCCCTCCTCCTGTTCTGCCAGCTGCGCAGCCTGGTGGGGGGGGAAGGCAGAGGAGATGCTTGACACACGAATGAAATAGACACGAATCCCGAGAGTCCGAATCTTTGCCACATTTCCTGGATGTTTTTCTTCCCCTCCACTTCTTGGGAATCGGCGATTATTCGTGTCAGTCTGTTTTTTCCGTCCTAACGGGGGTGAGGACAAGCAAGAGGGGAGCACCGGCGTTGGCAAGCAGGCGGGCGCTCTCTCCTCGTTCTCGCCGATGCAGAGCGCGCGGCCCTTGTAGATCCGCTCCTCCGCGCCGAGCTGAGCTGGGCAGCGGCTAGACAACGGAAACATGAACTGTCGGAGCTCCACACGGGTTCCTCGGATCGGCGCTTGGCCACCCCCATTTCTATGGGAACAACCAAACGACATAAACGTGATACCGGCGAAAAACCCCAATCAAGGCTGTAGGGTTCGGGGTCTATAGGGCTAGGGCTATAGGGCTACTGAGCTATACGGCTATAGAGCTATAGGGCCATGGAGCTGTAGGGCTATAGGGCTATAGACCTATAGGGCACCCCTGGGCACCCCCGGGCACGCCTGGGCACGCCCGGGCACCCCCCGGGCACCCGGGCGTGCAGCGAAAATCGGCGGCCAACCTCACCCCCGGGCACCCCCGGGCACCCGGGCGTGCGGCGAAAATCGGCGGCAAACCTAACCATATGAATCCGCTAGGACCCCTGCAGAGGCAAGCTCTGATTAGGGAATAACCGCTCGGAGATCCGCGCGGATCCTTCAGGGCCCCTTGGCGGCGCATCTGGCGCCGGCCCTGGCGCGTTCCGCGCGCCAGGGAGAGGTGTCCAACGTCGATCAAAGAAATCCACGCGGACCTCCGAGTCTGTATCATTTTGGTACTGTTTGTTCCCAGGCCCTATTCCTGGCGCGGGAAGCATGCCAAGGCCAGGGGGCGTCGCGCGAGAAGGGAAAGTCTCGGCAAAACGAGACTCGGCCAGGCTGAGACTCGGCCGAGCTGGAATTCGGCCCGGGCTGACCTCAGCCCAGACCGGATTCAGCTTGGCCGAGCTCCTCCTGGCCAAGGTCAGTCGGCCGAGTTCAGCCTGGCCGAGTTCAGCTGGCCGAGTTCAGCCTGGCCGAGATGTTCCTGGACGAGTTTGGTTGCTCTTTCGCCTGGCACCGCTCCAAGGAATCTGCGCGACCAGCTTGTGCCGAGAGAGGGCAGATGCGAGAGGGACAGGCTCGGGCGCTCGTTCGGAGGGCCAGCAACAGGGGTCGCAGAAACGTGAAAACCCTTTGGGCCCACAGCGTCAGTCCAGGGGCCATTTAAGGCCCCTCTGACCCACCCTCCTGCAACCCGCGATCCCCAAAATTCTGTTCACATTGAAAACGTGTAATCCGCCGACCCCTAGAGGCGTGTGCGATATCCTTTGTGTAAGGCCTCGGAACCCCTCCCCCGAGGGAGTTCGCCCGAAACTTGCCCGAGGGAGCTCGCCCGAAACTTGCCCGAAACCTACCAACACCCCCCCACCACGCCTCCATCACGCAACGCCCCCCTCCCCGCTCTCCCACTTTGGTCCCGACACCCCCAAGCCCAACGCTCCCCTCCCCGCCCCCCACTTGGTCCCGACACCCCCAAGCCCATGGGCTCTGTTCTTGGAACCCCCGACCCCACGATTTCTCGCCCAAAATCGACCAACGCCCTCCTCCCCGCCCCCCCACTTGGTCCCGACACCCCCAAGCCCATGGGCTCTCTTCTTGGGACCCCCGACCCCACGATTTCTCGCCCAAAATCGGCCAACGCCCCCCTCCCCGCCCCCTACTTGGTCCCGACACCCCCCTGCCCATGGGCTCTGTTCTTGGGACCCCCGACCCCACGATTTCTCGCCCAAAATCGACCAACGCCCTCCTCCCCGCCCCCCCACTTGGTCCCGACACCCCCAAGCCCATGGGCTCTCTTCTTGGGACCCCCGACCCCACGATTTCTCGCCCAAAATCGGCCAACGCCCCCCTCCCCGCCCCCTACTTGGTCCCGACACCCCCCTGCCCATGGGCTCTGTCCTTGGGACACCCGACCCCACGATTTCTCGCCCAAAATCGACCAACGCCCCCCTCCCCGCCCCCCAGTTGGTTCCCGCCCCCCGAACACCCCCCTCCACGCCTAACCCCCCCTCAATGGGCTCTCCCCTTGGGAACCCCCGGACCCCCGCCTGGTGCATCTGTCGCCAAAATTCATTTGCCTTCATGGATTGTTCAAGCGACTGGGTTCACGACTACGACGAGCGTTCGTCGCTGCTCTTTTCGGAATCGGAGGCACCTGTCCAGCCTTATGCTTTTTCGTTACCGACGCATGGGTCCGCTCGGCGACTTCCTTCCGTTTGCGCTCTTGGCCAGCACAACATATGTTGCATCTCTGCTTCCCATTCGCCTTCTGCGTCGATCGTCCAGCCAACCAGTTGCTGTAGTGCTCCCTCCCGAAAGCGCCCTTACATTCTACACATTTCCACTTCCCTCGCTCCAGCTTTGCGCCATCGATGCAGCGCTTGCACTTGCGGTGCTGATCTCCCGCGCACTCCCACATCCAATTCGAAAAGTATTCACGCCGCTGCGCTACCTCGCACACCACGCAGGCCCTCACGTCCTTCCTCGCATCTGTGTTCCGCTGTGCAGCCCCAGCGTTGACGCAGCGCATGCATTTGCGGTCACGATCGGCCACTCCATTCCACATTTTCCGCGAGAAGAAATCACGCCGTTGCGCCACCTCGCACGCAACACAGGCCTTCACGTCTTTCCTCGCCGCCGAGTCCCGTTGGGCGGCCGCGTCCTGGACGCACTGGGTACATGCAATGGTCTCTTTGGAGGCGATGCGCCGCATGTGAGCGGAAAACTCCGCCTTACTCTTCGACTCCCCACATTTCGAGCATACCCTCCGTTTCCCTTCCTCGG